CGATTTCTTCAAATAACCCAGAGAAATGTGACCTTGAACAGGGCACGTATGTAATATCTCCTTTGATAAAAACTCCAGCAGAAGTATTGACTGAATCAATGAGGAAAATGTTCCTCTGGAGACGGCACGTTCTGCTTGGGTACAAATTACAGTGTAACAGAAACAGAGTGTCTTTAATGGAGATCTGACACACCAGACCACACATCGCCAATCGATATTGCACATTTATAGAGTTTACTGACATTTCTCACACAGTTTTAGAACAAAGTCCCTGGGTGCTGAATGCAACGCTGTATTTTTGTGCCATTGTTGTCTTAAATGCGGAATATTACGTGAGTAGGAGTGTGATATATCTCAACAGCAGTAGTATTATAAATAAAATACAGCATTACTACAAGTCTGATATTGTGTTATTTCAGCTAGAGTGCAATTAGTAAGTGCATTCTCATGAAGCACCATAATGTACTTGGCTTTCATAAAACACTTTAATTTAGCTGGATGAGTTAACGTTATTATTGCGTTAATGCATTAACAAATGCTGAAGATTATTTTATTGTGCATTGATGCAATTTTAATGTTAATTTTACCATTTTAAACATCCATTACTCACTGGATTTGAAAATTCGAGTCCTATGAACATTGAGGTGTGAGGACAGGAACTGAGAACCACTGACATGATGATAACTTGATTATCACTTATTGGCTTTACAGTGGTAAACTTCCGATTTATATTATTTTGATTACATTTTTTTTAAATTGAGATTTACAACATATATTTTAATTATTATATTATATTATTATACATTGAACAGGAAAAAATGCATCAAAAAGGTATAAGATGAATTCATTTTATTAACAGCATATATTTCTTAGAGTTGCAAAATTCATATATGTTCGATCCACCATTACGTGAAGAGTCACTTCATGCATATTGCTATTTTGTCCTGCCCCATTATTGAAATCAAATGTAACGTAAACACTGAAAAGTACATTCTTCATTGCTAATCAACAATAATAATCTCAACTCCACATTGCAGATGCTGCGATGTGACTATCGTGAATGCAAACATTGCGATATCGATACTGAAACGATATATTGTGCAGCCCTAATTTTAACTAATTTTGCAAATTCTAACTGATCATATAAGCAGCCAATCAATTAGCTGCCAAAAATCTTGTAAACCAAAGTAAAACATTGCTCACAGTCAACTAAATGTTTAGTAATGTAAAGTCATACTTTACTATGTCAGACTAAATATCCAAACTATTGTAGTAAACATTAAAAGGTTGCTCAATAGTGATAAGCGTGTTTATTAGTTAAAAAAAAAAAAATGGGTATAATAACAAATATAATGTGTCAAGCTCAACACAGTAGATCATGACAATTAATCTGTATTGGGCTTTTTTAATTCTGCTTTACTATGTTATTATTGTAAAGCAATTAAAAAAATAGTAAACGCACGGAGGAAAAGTATTTTTTGGATTTACTCATTTTTTTAGGTAACTGGTTGCAAACAATTTATATGGGCTGAATATAAACAAAAAAATTATGTTGAACATTACTGAATATAAATTATATAAACATAAAAACAATGCTAATATAAATTGTTTGTAACCAGTTACCTTAAAAAATGGTTAAATCCAATACAATTTACAGTACATTTAGACATTTGCAATAATAGAATTAAAATAAATTCCAAATACCAATTATGGTTAAGCTTAGCAGTGACTCTAAAAATCCTATTTTTGTGGCTTCTGTTCAACTATAATCCACATTCAACATTGTAAATTCTTCAATGTGATTATAGCGGATGCACACATTGTGGTATCGATGCTAAAACAATATATTGTGCAGCCATAATTTCAATTGTAAAAAAAAAAAAAAAAAAACCTAATTGTAAAAACACTACAGTAAATATTTGTATCCTTGTAAACAGTATTTTCTTAGTATATACGGTTAATAACCATAAATTGACAGAATTCCTTTCATGACACTTCGCTTGTATGCATTTTTTTAACATTACTCGTATGTACATTAGAGTGTTATGTTGATTCTAATGTTGACATAATATTAAAAATAATATAATGAAAGTAATTAAATACAGTAGTTTACCGTAAAAAGAAAAAAAGTCAATCAAGGCTGCCATTTTTACTGTGAATTTGACAGATTTTTAGTTTACAGAGTAGAAAACAACTAAAACCACAAGATTCATTTATTTATTATATTGCACACTGGATTTTTTGCTATATGCATTTTAATTAAAATCAGTATGTTGTCAAACCATCTAAAACATAAAAATAATTGTTGAGTTTAAAAAAGAACCAGCAAGGCAATTTAACCAAGAGAAAAAAATATATATTTTAGAATGAGGGATGAAATAGACTTGTTTCACTGCTCCTTCATTGACTTCTACAAGTAACCCAGAGAAATGTGACCTTGAACGGGACACGTACTCTAATACCTTGTTTTGATAAAAACCCACAATTTATATGGGGAGAATTTAAAAAAAAAATCAAATTAAGTTGAACATTAAAAAATTGAATTTGTTTGTGTAAATTCAGCCAATATAAATTGTTTGCAACCAGTTAACTTACAAAAATGAGTAAATCTAATGAATATCATTTTTTTTAGACTTTAGCAATAAGAAAATAAAAATACCAGATTCAAATGAACTTTTTTATAATATATATATATATATATATATATATATATATATATATATATATATATATATATATATATATATATATATATATTCAATATATAGTGAAAATATGCCAATAACGTGAACTAGAATATCATATTAAAAGTTGAATTATTACAAGTGCCTTTTTTATTGTACTCTAAACATAAGGCTAATCTGTGTCTGTCATGTAAATAATATATAGTCCTCTTGATCTTCAAAAACACTCCCTCAAATCCATTTAAAACATTTATCTCCAATTTAAAAATAAATAAGCATCTGACGTTTTTCACAATGCAAATATTTTATGTTAACACCTGCAGTTTTTTATATGTTTATTTTAATATTCGGATTCCTGTGACTTTAGTATTTATAAGCCTTTATTTAGGTTTATAAGAACCTAAATAGCCGGGTCTGTCATGTTTTATGATTTCCTTGAATCGTTTCCTTTGCACTGTGTAAAACTGCAGAGCATTTTCTTAACTGTTTGTGTTGTGTTAAAATGCAGCTTGTTTTTTAAAAATGTGTTTGTGTTGTGATAATTTGCTGTCACGCTGTGCTGTCAAACTGATGAAGACCTTTTCAAAATGACCTGGCATTTTTTGTAATTGCATTTTTTTAAATTACAGCACGTTAAGCTCTCTTGCTAACATATATTTGTCTTTTTTTCAAAATTTAGATTACTTTGCTTTTAAAGTTTGTATGGTTAGTTTGTTTGGTTCAAGGTTTATGATGATTTTAGAAAATCCTATTGTATTTTAATTTCTATTGCAACAATGAATAAGAAAAATAGCAGAAACAGGGGTGCTGAAAAAGTTTGGAGGTGTTTTTGCTATTGGCAGATACAATGTAAGTGACAGGTTGAGCCTGGCCTCCAACTAGAAAAAAAAAAAAAAAAACATGACAGAAAAGAAGGATTGTCACAGAAGAGGTTTACTAAATTTTATATTAGAAGGTGATTTTTAAAGTTATGATGTGCATTGTAATAATATTAAATATTTTAAACTATTGGTTTCAAAATGGTTGCAAGAAAGGAAAACATTGCAAGATGATATTTGGGATGCTGTCACATTTTATGCAGAAGCCTACTGTTCGTTAACACTAATTTCAGAAAATTAGGCTCATGTAGTTTACCATCCACAGCAATCTTGGTAGGCTTTAAAACGTAGGTTATAATTTAATCATCAAATTAGAAAAAACATGGTGTATATATATATGTGTGTGTGTGTGTGTGTGTGTGTGTGTGTGTGTGTATATATATATATATATATATATATATATACACATATACAGTTGAAGTCAGAATTATTAGCACCCTATTGATTTTTTTTCTTTTTTTTTAAATATTTCCCAAATGATGTTTAACAGAGCAAGTAAATTTTCACAGTATGTCTGATAATATTTTTTTTTCTTTTGGAGAAAGTCTTCTTTGTTTTATTTCGGCTAGAATAAAAGCAGTTTTTAATAAAAAAAAAATAAAAAAAAAACAATTTTGGGACAAATTTATTAGCCCCTTTAAGCTAATATTTTTTAGATAGTCTACAGAACAAACAATCGTTATAGAATAACTTGCCTAATTCCCCTAACCTGCCTAGTTAACCTTTTTAACCTAGTGAAGCCTTTAAATGTCACTTTAAGCTATATAGAAGTGTCTTGAAAAAATATCAAGTAAAATATTATTTACTGTCATCATGACAAAGATAAAAAAATCAGTAATTAGAAATAGGTTTTTAAAACTATTTTGTTTAGAAATGTGCTGAAACAATCTTACCTCCATTAAACAGAAATCAGGGGGAAAAAATAAACAGATGCGCTAATAATTCAGGGGGGCTAATAATTCTGACTTCAACTGTATGTATATATAAATATATATATATATATATATATATATATATATATATATATATATATATATATATATATATATATATTTTTTTTTTTTTTTTTTTTTTTACATATATATATATATATATATATAGGGCAAACTCATTTTCAAGCTCACTTAATATTTTCAAGCCAAATCCTAATATACTGTAGTATGATCTGCTTTAATTGCATACTATACGTGAATGCTGCAGGCTTTATAAAATGTTTTTGTTGTTGTTGCTTTTGCTGTATTCCACTTGAAAAGTGTTTTACAAGTCAATCATTATTGTGTATATGCAGAAAACTAATTTCAACAACAAACCTAAAAGTGTAACAACTTAATTAAAAACTACAACATGAGTGAAGTATTTACGTTACAGTATCTACATTTACCTCAAAATTATAATATTTGATTTTTTCTCAAAACTACAAAGAACAGACTCATCTCACCTGCTGATAACTGGCGTCTTCCGGTTTGAAAGTGTTATCAACTGTCTGGAAATTAAAATTAAGATGCGGGAAATTGTGCAGCCAGTAGGTCCACCATGGGGCAATATAGTCCTGGCGTGATGAGGCCATCCCGGACGCTAAACTCAACACACACCGCTGATCTCTGGAGCGCTCTGGTAATCCTCACTCTTCACTAAAACACCAAACACAAGGAAGATCCTTCACCCAAAGACGATACACGGCGAGCAGGCAGGGAAACACCGCAAAAAAGTATTTCCCCCGGCTCCTTCAGATTTAGAGGATGCATAACACATGAGTTGAG